GAACAAAAGGGTAACACAGATACAACTATCGCCCCAGTGCGGCCCACTCTCCTCCCTTCTCCCCTCAAATCCACCAACCTGCTCCCGTCGCCGCCGCCAGGGGCACCGGGCCAGGCCAGCCCTACCTTCGGCCGGTTGCCCAGGCAACAACAACGCTTTTTATCATAGGCTATGCTTCTTTAGCTGGAGCAATCCAGCTCCCTATTGGTCTGCTGTACCTCTCCATAGCAACACGACGCACCATTGGCTAGCCGCGTCCCTTCCATGGTGACATGGTCGCTATGGTAGCCGACGGGGCGGGAGCGCCGCCAATTAACTCGTTTTCGTTGTAAAGTGGGTGAAGCCATTGGCCAATCTCACGGGTGGGCGTGGCTTCGGGTAACGTCGCCTGTCTTCTATCTGGCTTGTGAGGTGCTTTCAAGGAAGGCCCGATGGAACGGCGTCGGAAGGGGATTTCCGCTACTCCCAGCCCGCAGGGACCGCGGTGTGCAGAGTGGGAGATGATGCCAATGAAGTGAAAAAAATATTTCAGCGGCCGGGGCGACAGGCAAAACAGATCGAAGCAGTCGTCGGCCGGCCAAAAGCGTCCCCGTCGCAGCCTCAACAAAGCCGTTCGGTTGCTCCCCTCAGCGGCTCAGTTGCGTCCCGACTTCCATGGGAGGTGGGCGGAGAGTCCTAAAGGCCCCTGGCAGAGCGAGGTTTTGGCTTGAGCCAAAACAAGCCCCGAGGGATTGATTGACCTCCTGGATCGCTCAAGGAAGATGTCCAGGATTTTAAAATTTTAAAAGTTGCCTCAGGCTGCAATCCTCCTCCTCCTCTTTGCCTTCTGAAATGTCGCTCGTTCGTTGGAATCCCTCCCATTCGGTGCGGTGGATGTGCCTTAGAGCGGATTTTTTCCATAGCCCTCCCATCCTCGTCCTCGAAAAGCGTTGTCCCTTTGGGAACCGGATTGAAGAACACAGTAAAAAGCTGTAATAAAAAGATTTACACCATTAGTAAGCGGGAAGACGTTGGCTCAAAACCTTGAGGCAATTTTTTTTATGGGGATTTCACTTTAAACAGCATCAAAACTGGAAGTGGAGGATGCGGGCATCGATCCCGCTACCTCTCGCATGCTAAGCGAGCGCTCTACCATTTGAGCTAATCCCCCTGTTGTTATAAGTCCCTTTTTCTCTTAGTAAGAAACTATAATCATGAAACACTTCCATTGTAAGGATTTTTTATATACATAATTCAGAATTATGGTTTGGTTTTTGGCAAGCTTTGTTCCTTTTTGGAGACCTATAATTAAGCTGCTCCAATTGGCAAAAAAGGAAGATATTGCCAATATTTGGAGTCTGGAGGGAGTAGCACAAATATTTCTCAAGTAAATGAGCCCAAACTCCTACATTTAGGAAAAGCTCGACAAGGCTGCACACTGAGGTACCCAAACAAGAAACTGCTAGAACTCAAACTGTAAGACTACTTGCACCCAGAAAACCACAAAAGCAGTGGTGGGATTCAGCCAGTTCGCACCATTTCGGGAGAACCGGTTGTTAACTTTCTGAGCAGTTTGGTGAACTGGTTGTTGGAAGAAATCATTAGGGCAGAGAACTGGTTGTTAAATTATTTGAATCCCACCACTGCACAAAAGTAATGATCTGTGACAAAAAGATTGCACTTTGTGCACTGTTTGGGCTACAGTAGCTGACCTGCAAACCAGCTGAATAATTACTAGATGGCAGCAAAACAATATAGAAAAGTGGTGCCATCCATCATTCATTCAGATTCCTGCAGTTCATACATAGCACAGTAGCTGTTGTCTGCTAGAATTGGGAGACGGATGGGACCAATTCTGGAAGGTGCTCAGACTAAAGGAAAAATTAGTCCAACCTATCAAAAGCAGTATTGTAAAAGACAAATTAGGATAGGACTGCAAGTTAAAATAGGCAGGAAAGTGGAAAGACAACACCTATCCACTCTAGATGAGTACAAATCCACAAAACCAGATGGATTACATTCCAGAGTGCTGAAGGAGCTAGCAGATGTGATCTTGGAACCACTGAACCATATCTTTCAAAAATCCTGGATCACCAGGAAATTACCTAAGGACTGGAAAAGAGCTTGATGTGGTTCCCATCTTCAAAAAAGGGGAAAAAAGATAATCCAAGAAACTACAGACCTATCAGTCTGACATCAATACCTAGAAAAGTTAACCAAGCAACAGATCTGTAAACATCTAGAAACAAGCAAATCTATTATAGAAGCCAGCATGGGTTTGTCAAAAACAAATCAGCCAGGCAAACCTCATTGCATTCTTTGACAAAATGACTAAATTATTGAACCAGTGAAATGCTCTGGACATTGTGTACTTGGACTTTAGTAAGACATTTGACAGCGTAGACCATAACCTATTTCTTGGTAAGATAAAAAAATACAGGATAGACAGCATCATCACCAGATAGATTTGTAATTGGTTAATCAACCAGACTCAACATGTAATCCTCAAAGGAACTACATCTACCTGGAGGGAAGCATGCAGTGGCATTCTCCAAGGTCTTAGCCCAAATGATTTAGATGAGGTGAGAGAAGGGGAACTCATCAAATTTGTACACAACACCAAGCTTGGGGGGTGGGGTATAGCCAAAGATAGGCTCAAGATCCAGAAGGATCTTGACAAACTTGAACACTGGGCTCTATCCAACAAAATGCAATTCAGTGATGAGAAAAGTAAGTTTTTAGGCAAGAAAAACCAAATGCACAGGTATAAAGTGGTACCTGATTTTATAGCAAACTGTGAGAGGGTTCTAAAAGTCCTAGTGGACAACCTTTTTAAGTATGAGTCAGCAATGTGTGCAGCAGCCAAAAAACCCAATGCAGTCCTAGGCTGCATCCAGAGGGGAATAGTATCAAGATCATGTGAATACCATTTTATATTGCTTTGGTAAGATCACACTTGGAATAGTACATCCAGTTCTGGTCCCCACAATACAAAAAGATGTTGAGACTCTGGAAAGAGTCTAGAGAAGAGCAACAAATATGATTTAGGGACTGGAGGCTAAAATATATGAATCATTGTAGGAAGAGGGTATGACTATCTAACAAAGAGGACAAGGAGCGACAATAGCAGTCTTCCAATATTTGAGGGACTGTCACAGAGAAGAGGGGTCAACTTACTCCCCAAAACATCTGAGGGCAGGAGAAGTAATGGATGGAGACTTATCAAGGAGAGATACAACCCAGAAGTAAGAGGAAATTTCCTGTCAGTGAGAACAATTAATCAGTGGAACAGCTTGCCTCCACAAGTGGGTGATCCATCACTGAAGATTTTAAAGAAAATTGGACAGCCATTTGTCCTGAATGGTATGGGGTTTCCTGTTTGAGCAGGGGCTAGGACTAGAAGACATTTAAGGTACCTTCCAGTAGTGTTATTCTGTTAAAGCAGGGGTGTCAAACTGGCGGGGCCGAATGCGTCACATGGTGACGCCCACCCCAGCTCCATGAAGGGAAAAAATGTCGTGATATATCACATGATGGTAATGTGATGCCATAAGTTTGGCACCCACGTGTTAAAGGTTCTAAAAACACACAACAGTATTTTGGTTCTCATGCACATGGATGCTACTGCAGGTCTCTCTTCCTCCAGCAAGAACAGCATTGAGATTTTTTTCCTCGTAAAACGTAAATTGCATAGCTCTGCAGAAAAGGGAGAAGTAAATAATGACCAAAGGTCATGTCATCACTAGTAAAATGATGTCCTGCTCCAATTACAATGTTGAAGGACTGGATTATCCAAGAGAATATCCTAAAGGAAGAACAAGCTGGTTTTAGATCAGGTAGACCAATTGGTTTCAGATGGGTCACTTTTATGCATCTTTATTAATTTCAGGGTGGCTTCTGGTTCAGTATAGCAGAGTTTATTATGGTCCAAGTTGAATAACTCAACAATTGCTAAATGTTTTCTGCTATTTATTGCTCCACGAGGGATCTTCCTTGCAGATCAGGACAGTTCTCCACTTAAAATACTGTATACTACTTCCAACTCTTGTTCAACTTCTATATTTTTGATCCAAGACATTGCACATTTGTGACCCTAAATTGACAAAAAGACATCTCCCAATTTTGCTATAGGGAGATGATCCTCTTAACTCTATTCTTAAGGCATGTCTGAAGAGGCATTCACTTTTTTGCTTCAACATTGCCAAGAGGAACAGTTGATCAATTATCAAAAAGCCTCAAGATTTTTTTCTAAAAGACCCACAGCCCATAGGTGAACTATCAACAACTAAATAATATAGCACGTTCAAACATTTTGGGGTTGCATTTAAAGCAAGACAAGTCACTCATGCAACTTATATTGCCCATCTTACACAAGGAGTACCTCAGCCATTTTGTTATTTCATCATATGCTCAGTAGTTCTCTGTTGCCTACTGTCATCAAACTTTTCCAGGCCAAAGCTCTAGCCCAACTTCTAATTTAGACCAGCACTGGGCCAAATAGTAACTTCAGACCCACTAGAGATCAGAGTCATGGTTGCTCAGTTACATCTGGCACTCCTAAATTTGTTCTTAGGTTAACATTCATTCTCATCACAGTAGAAACTACAGCATGGATACCAGCAATTAACTTCAATTAAACCTAACTTTTTTAGGTTGCCCCACCTCACTGAGTGATCATTTTCAATCCAGCAGGGAGGCGGCTGCTTAGCATTTTGCCGCCAACTCCCAGTTAATTTATGCACATTATATAAGGACCAGGCCAGAGAACCTATCTCATGCCGCTTCCTGGTTAGACCTGCACAGATTATCCAGTTCTGTGGGAGTCCATCTATATTTATCAGAGTCCTAGTATTTATCTTTATGCATGTCTACTTTTTTCTTTTCCCCTTGAATGTGGATGGACCTTGGCAAAGACATGCTGCAATGCCCTTTCTTCTGGGGCTGATCATAGCCAGTACAACAATTCCTATAACTAGCTGCTTGTGCCTTGTGTATGGAAGAAATAAAATGAATAACACATGTGCTTTACACTGTAGCTTTTATTTGGCCTGATACCAGAATTTACCCTTTTCATAAGAATGTCAAGGCAGTGAGAAATTTTAATATAGACTTATAAGACATTTCGAAAGGGGCAGATGGCATAGACAAACATGAAAGCAAGTAATGTAACCAAATACACTGTCCTTTATTGTACATGACAAGAGCCTCACACAATTGTCATGACCAGGTCCACCATTATAAGCTTGCTGAGCTAAAGGGAGATAGGTGCTGCACAGGACTCACTTTTACAGCTGACTCACTTTTACAATTGAAGTATAAATGCACAACCAGCTTTTCTTTGTGCATCCCAGATATAAGGTATTTGATTACAGCTCCAGTCAACATATTTAGACTAGAATATACAACCAATTGATTCATGGGTCTCAGAAACCTTGGGGATTGTAGTCCCTAAAACACATTAAAAATAATGAAGTTACTAAATATACAAGCTGACATATTAAGTATTGCTAAATAAAACCAGTGTCTTTGCCTTGGTGGCATCACTTCTTTGTCCTGGTCTGGAGTATTTTTTGGAACACCACTCAGGGCTCAAAGGCTTTGGCCCTTCATCCAAAAAAGATGCTCCTCTATTCTAGACAATGGGAAGTGTGTATCAGTACATCCAGAGGATAACCAGTTCAGGAAAGATATACCAACTGGTAGGTAGGAGCAACAGGCCAAAAAGAACCAATATCTAACCTATTATTTCCCCATTGCATACTTTCACACATACAGACATATCAAACCTCTCAGCTGAAAGAGCACCAATGGCTCGTCAAGATATTTAGGGCAGAGTAGGGTGTATAGGATGGGTCCTACTTCAAAGCTAAAATGGCATTTCCAAGCCACTGATTCAGCTGAAGAGACTACAGCAAAACAAAGCATTGGAGAAGGAGTGAGCATAATAAAATGCCACTCATAGACTGCCTGGGAGACTGACATAGCTTATCCATCCCTTCTTTTAGTTTCAACTAAGACCAGGAGATGAGGAATATCTGGCCCTCAGCCTCCATACAGCTCAGAATTCAGACCTCAGTTTATTTATTTTATTGGTTCGATTTATATGCCACCCTTTTCCGGAGGCTCAGGGCAGCTTACAGTTGAATGATTTACTGTACCTCATCCAGATTTCTTGCAAGAATAATCTGTCTTGTTTGGGAATGGGAATAGAGACACAAAGCCAGAAGTTAAGTGTTGTAAAAAGATAACAAATGGCCCATCCATGTTCATCTCTAGGTCTACTACTAAAGTTTCATCCATTTCAGACTGCTACACATTCTCAGAGGAATGTGGCTCCCAAGAGAAGAAAAGCCCCTCTCTCTCCACATCAGTAGATGTGTATTCCAAAGCGAAGTACCCATCCCAGTTTGCATAATCTGTTCCACAATACAGTAGGGCAAACACATTTTGGGGGAAAGGCCAGGACCCTTTGCTTTTGGTATAAAGAAATCAACATATTAATTGCTATGAGAAGTGGCAATAGTACAACCTTGGGAAATGTACCAGAAATATCTTAGATCCAATAAAGATGGGAAGTAAACCAATAAGGTAGCATTCACTTTGAGAACCAGACTGTAGGACTGGCTCAAAACTTCAGGGGGCACATTTATGATAAAAGGTAAGAATAAAAGGAAGAGCTCCATATATAAAGTGGTAGGAAGTCACTGACCCAGCAACCAATTTATTTGAGATATTACTGAAAGAGGAAGTGCTTTTCCAAAACCATTACTGGGATACACCTTGCTCTCTTAAAGACTGTTATTACCATTGTAGCCTGGGGCAGTCATATCAAGGAAACAGCCTGCCAACAGCTGCCTGGGAGCTCAGCTGAGAACAAGCCTGACAGCACAGCAAATTGGGAGCTTGGAGACATCTGGTCTGGGAAGCTCTGGGCTTCTGCAACAAGTCAAAGTTGTGCTGTTCTTTGTTTTGATGGTCAGACTAAAGAATAAGCAAATCGGTACATCCTGCTTTAGCCATCCAGAGAGCAATAGCCTAAATTTCATTTTCAGCTTCTGAGGCTAGGATCACTGCTAGTGCCTAGAGATGATGGAAACAGCCCAGTCCTTAATGGCCACAGTTGTATCCTGCAGGTATGTCCAAGAAGATTGGATGAGGTTGGTCAGATGAATTTTCAAGCAGGTCCAGGACCCTTCACCACTAGAAGAAGAAATAAAAAATGATTGGAGGCTACAGAGACATAGCATGAGCCATTCAAAGAACTGAGATAACTGCTGATATTGACTTAACTGAAAGTAAGGTGAAATTTAGATGCTCCATGAATTCTACAACCTGTATATTAGATTGCTGCAAGCATACAAAAACCCTATATTTTAAGATAGAGATGGGGAGCCTTCCTCAGAAATGTACACTTTGGTCCTGTCATCTTCTCAGTAGCCAGATTTTGTTCCACAACCCCTCCTAAAAGAAGGCATGACTCAGCCAAGATAATCCAGAATTACTATTTCCTATTGGAATACCTGCAATTACATTCTGTTTCTACCATGTGGTTTCCTTAATTTCTGACATAATTCGTATTCTTTTTATAACTGGAACAATGCTTCCACCTCTGCCTGAAGAAAAACTGGGTTCAATATTCTTAATATTGCCTGGAACACAGCAAGCATGGCTTGTTCCCTTCTTAGGGTGGAGAGTAAACCTGGGCCTCATATTTCAGTTAATGACTATTTTTGGTAACTTTTTTTAGTATAAGCAGCTGACTCTTCAGTTATACTTTACAGTTTTGGTTCCTCCAGATCAGAGGAAAGGATAAAATAGCTCTAGGCTTTCTTAAGTCATTTTAAAAGATTTTTTAAAATCACATCTCTATTATTTTATAAATAATTCAAGGTGGCAAACATATCTAATATATCTTCCTCTTATTTTCCCTATAACAACAATCCTGTAAAGTGAGTTGAGTCTGAGAGAGAGTGACTAGCCCAAAGTCACCCAGCTGGCTTTCATGCCTAAAATGGAATTAAAAGTCAGTCTCCTAGTTTTTAGTCTGGTGCTTTAACCACTGGACCAAACTGGCTCTCTAATAGTGATCTAAGTTTTGCCAGCTTAGGCAGAAGACACATCAAGCTCACTGCCAACCATCAAGAGAAAGAGCAATTTCTTTTTAACTGGCCCTAATGCTAATTAAACCTGAAATCAGAAAATCCTTCATTTCTAAGAGCTATTCTGTACTATAATTAAAAGAAACATATTGTTACCTTAACCAGGGTGGGGGGCCGTGGGGGTGGTGGTAATCTGCAGACTTTTAGTTGACATTGGATTCCATCTCCCAACTGTTTTTACCATGGGCAATGTTGGTTAGGACTAATAAGTATTGAGAATTTAACATTTGGAGGACTATAAATTCACCTCCCCTACTAAACAAAGTGAGATTATGTGCCCACAAGCCAATATGGAATGTCTGTGTACCATCCTGATAAATTCGCAGGCCAGAAGCTCAACTTTACTAATCCATATGGCTAAACAGATTGATGACACAGAGACAGAAAACAATGCAAATCTGTTTCTTTATGTTCTTTTTGCACCATTTATTCCTCTCATGACAAGGAAATTCCTCTCATGACAATGCAAAGAAAAACTGAAGGCCACCTCTAATAATTGCCATTCCAGAGAATTAAAATCAGCTTTTGAGGCCCTGCCCACACATCTCCAAACTTTGCCAACCCCTAGCCTTAGAAGCTAGGATACGTTAAATAATTAAACAAGGGAATGGCCAGGGTACCAGATTATTTTACTAAATCCACACTTTGTGTTCACGTTCTGTAACAAGAAACTCATGAACCTGTGCACATTAAGTGCATTCAGAGTTCACTAGTCACCATCATATTATAATCAATCTGCTGTTTCTCCTCAACTGCCCTTTTTTCAGTGCTTCTTTTGGGATACATCGAGGGTCTGTCTTGTGCATCACTAAGCAGATAGTCCTCTAATTGGGGATCCTCATAGTTCTCTTTCAGCATATGCATACAGACTTTAATATTCTTGTATTCCTATTTAGCTTTAGCAAACATATAATTAACCATGCCAAAGTGAATGAAATTCAGTTCTGCCTGGGGCCCAAAGACACGTAGGCAATACATACTTGCAGAAAGCTAACCACATTTTCCAGGCTCCGTCCAATGACACAGCAATATAGTCCACAGCAGGCAGAAAGCAGTTTCGCATGAGGAACAGCAGTAATTCTCTGAGGTACTCAACAGCATGCAGCACAGAATCTGGCAGCTGTGTCTGAAGCTACGGAGAAAATAAAGATGCTCAGTGGAGCCGTTTACAGGATAGGCTTCTAATCGACTAGCTCCTCACTGGTTTAACATGCTACTAAAATACTCATCACTTGGTAAGTTTGAAAATGACCATGTGCCAAGTTCCTATTGTTCAACAGGCTGCTCAAAGGCCATTGTTTAGATTTCTATGCCAATGACAAAGAGCAACCAACAACAGATGGTTATTGTGTCCAATATCCCTTGGCAGTATAACAATAAAATACAAATCAACCACAACCTGATGTCCACAAGAAGTGCTATACTATAAATTCCATCATTTTCAGTCAATATTATTAGCGGCCAACACTCTGGGGACATCAAACAGAGAAAGATATAACATAACATGCAAGTTATCCCATCCAGAGAGAGAGGAGGGCAAAGACACCAACATTCCCTTCAAGACATTTCTTTGCAAAAGGAATGGAATCATGGAAGGTTGTAACTCCTCTCTGTCAGGAATAGGCATGACAATGGACTCTTCATTGCTGCCCCTGATGCTTCCTCTTTGTCTTCTATGTGGTTTTTGCCATTTGGTCTCTATGTGCTTTTTGTCGTTTTCCTTCCTAATTTCTGAAATCCTCGGTGCATCTGGACATTAAAAACTATACATTTCTCCCCCGTTCTCAACTCCTAATTTTCAACTTCTGCCTAACAAAGCTTGGCTGTCCAGCCAAAAGCAGCAACATTCTTACCCATTCACTGAGCCTAAGGAGGTTGTTGCTGAGCCAGGCTAAATGAGCAGAGCACTTCCCAGAGATGTAGATAGCAGTTTCATTTGTCTTGGTCCAGGCCAGCTCCAAATTGGGTCCGAGCACTGTTGCCACTTGGGAGTAGTAGATTGGTATATTTGCTTCTAGCCAGCTGCAGGGAGATTAAGGGGGATGGAATGAGGTTTTGCCTTGAAAAAGAAATTCCTTCAAAGGCGTCACCCAGTCAGATGGAATCATCTCTCAATTGTCTGTGGTTCTGAATACAATACAGATCTCTTCTGGATGCTCTTTTAAAAAGTGCTCCCTTTGCTAAAACAGCTAAAACATATTACCAACCTGTAACCTTTTATAGAGAAATGGGAAACTTTGTCCCAGGCTTGCTCAGTTGCAGACAGGATGCCAGAAGAACGAAGGACATGTGCAGAGGCAGAAGCTGCAAAACAAAACAAAACATGGACGAAAAATTTTCATTACAGTGAAGCCCATGTATTTTTCAACCTTATTATGGGGAGAAAAGAAGCACCATCTCACATGCCTCCAGAAACAAATCCTAACCTTGGAAGGAGCCATGAGTCTTGATATCATATGTCAGAAATCCAGCAGTAACTATCAGGAGGACTAAAATCAGCCATGGCCAACGAAACTCACTGGCTTTCATCTTGAGCAGCAGGTTCTAAAGAACAGAACCAAAGAAGCAGTGCTGTAAAGCAGAATGAAGCAAATAAGCATCCTATAGGTTTGCTAACTCGTGTGCCATTCCATAAGCAAATAAATTACCTTGCATGCAGCTCTACAAGCTGCTACATCCTGAACATTATTTGGTCCTTTCATAGCCAGCTCTTCATTTATGACACTGAATGAATGAACTGTCTCCTGTAAAGATTTTCGCACCTAGGAAACAAAAAGTCCAGTAAAGTCCAGAAGCAATCAGTCCTCCCTTTGCCTAGCGTTTATTTGCTTTTTATAATATTTATTTTTATATTTTTTTTTAATGTCTGTTATTTTTATATCTGTTGCTGTCTTTGATTGTTATGCACCTCTCTGAGTCACCTTTGGTGAGATGGGAGGCTATATAAATTAAATAGATAATAAAGAAACAAACATGTATTTTCATTAAAGCTCATCTGCATAAAGCTTTCAAGATTCATCACTTTGTTTGATTTTAGTGTCTGTGAGTCACATTCACAAGTGGGCACAAACAGAATTCCTTCAGTTCAGTTCAGTTCAGTCACAAACTACGGAGAATATATCTTTTCATTTTCTAATCTGTTTTAGCCATACGTAAAACACCATACTAAATTTTACTATCTCAACAAATACTTCCTGGTATGTTAAAATAATAACTTCCTTTGCATTGAATCAATCTGCCCTTCAGGTGCACATATATATATTCTCTTGATATTTATTACCCTTCTCTGACTTTGCTTACTCAAGTCTCCCATGAAAAATCTATTCCTTGGGGGAAAAAAGAGACACAAACCTTTTTGGTAGTGTTGCCCCAGGTCTCCAAAAAGTGATTCAGGAGCAAGCTGAAAAAACGAAGCAAACATATTAACAGTGAGGTGTTTTAAAGAACTCTATCTCCTAAACTCAGATATTGGAACAGAAAAAGTGTGGAAACAGTGGAGGCCCGTTCACAACTATATATGAAAAGGAAGAAATTGCTATGCATCTTAACGAATGATTAAGTCAGCTAATAGCTGGCAGTTGCTTACCATACAATTTGATTTTATCTTGATTAATTTTGATTTTGTGGCACAGTGTTAAATCAACCCACCGTATTAATTTACATTGCAGTGTATTATCCTAATCCATTCAGCAAGCAGATCTAACTGTATTATGTGATAGGATTTTTCTATCTCCTCCCTGCCTCCCTCCCCACTGAATATGTGAATGATGAACCATTGTTTATTAGGGCAAATTAGCTTTATAACATGCAAAATACAACATGGCTGAATTGCTCATGTGATCAAAGTAGCACTTTTTTCATTCTTACCTTGATTGTGGGAGGTGTTTGATGTATAATTGTCTCCAGACACTGAAACTGAGAGGATCAAGATTGAGGCACTGGGTCAAACAGTTCAGAAGCTGCAGAAGGCAAGTCAGAATAATTCTCAGAGAACTAAAAATTAGACACTGGACATTTCCAAACAGCAGTGATCAGTCATAATATTACAGGTTTCAAGACAGCAGATTTAATTTATCAAGTTTCTCCATTCAATGGAAAAAAAACTTCCCTGCCTTTGGGACATTGAAAAAGACATGGGTATCTTAATGTTACTTCTTTGAATCAGGAGAACTCAGCTATGGAGTTTGTGCAGGCACCTCATTCTTGCACATCTACTCTCTATGGAAATAAAAGGAGCAAAGCACAGAGCCATTTGATTTTACCAGTGAAAGAAAACAGTCATAGCTTGAAAAGAACAGCAAATACTTCACACCAAGAAAAGATGCTTGCCCCATGAACATCTCGAATTAAAAGATAGCCCTGAACTCTTAAGCCACAACCACTTGAGTAAATAAAACAGTCTGGCTGGAACAACTTGACTTCATTTAAGGTTAAGAGTCATTGACTGAGATGGGTGGCCATAGAAATTGAATGGAATGGAATGGAATGAATGAATGAATGAATGAAACATTTCATATTATAAGCTTATCTTGAACCTCCCTGAGATTCTTTCTGATTCAAAAGAGGGGATAACCATCTGTATGAATTTTAAAACCTGTAAAATCTACATTAAAATAAAATAATTTTTGATTAAAAATGAAAGCCAGCGTAACATAGTAGTGAAGGTGTTTGAGCAGCAGCAGGGACAGCAAGATTCACTCACATCTATGAAAGCTTGCTGGGTGAATTTGGGCAAATATTGCAACCTAACCTATTTTGCAGGGGAAAAAATAGGGGAAACATGTTACCTTGAGCTCCTGGATGAAAGGTGGGCTATAAAAATAAAAATGAATTACATATTGTAGGCCAACTAAGACAGACACATCTTCAAAACCTTAAAAAGATGGGAATGGGGGACACTGTGCTGCAGTCAGGCTTCTCCTCTGTAAATCAGCCTCCTCCTTTCCAGATTATGATGAGAGAGGAGAAAAGGTCAACTTTGCAGACAGTTCGGTTAGAATAGTCCTTGACTCAGCCCTCCCTCCCTTATCAACATCTATGTGAACCTGCTGGAGGGCAACTGCTTGTGTGGGATAATATATCTCCCTCTTTGGTTTGAGCATAAGATGAACTCCCTACCCTGGTGCTATCAGGATTGGAAAAGGAAAAAACAAACAAACACCACAAATCCAGGCTTAATCCCAGCAGGATGAAATGGCTGTTGATCTGGAAGGCCTTAAAAACATTTACCCAGATGTACAGAGTAAGGAAGATGATGTGGACTATTCTATTACTGGAGTGACGAGAGGTGAAAAATATTCTAAGTCACAAACAAAGCAGATAAAGAGTTCATAAGAAGTTCAGACAAAACAGTTCCCTAACTCACTGAAGTATGAGAAGAGGGAGGAGGTACAACCCAACAAGACTTGCAAGATTCTGTTATTGTAGCCAATCTCAAGAAAAAATAGTTTTAACCATCCTGTGGAATTGATTTCTTGGTCTGGCCTACCTAGAGAAGCCGACAAAAGAGCATATGGTGCTCTTCTGTTTCTGATGTTTGCTTTGCTGTTGGATTGCTATCTTGGAATTATTTTTGTATTTGTTTTGATTACTTTTTAGTATTTTGCTGTTTTTATTATTTTATTGCTCTGAACCACCCTGAGTTGATTTGAATGGGGTAATATACAAGAACTATTACCCAGGTAAAGAGGGCTGGTGTAAGACCAACTTTCACCGAGCAGTGGTCCAAGAAAATAAGGTTATTCCAGAGGGTTTCAACAGCAGAGTATTATTCCAGATACAGCTAAAGAACAAAAGTATGTAACCAGCAACACACGAGAGCTAAAATCAACTGTGTTTGGCCTAGAATCATAGCTATTCTAAATCTAACACAGCATGTATGAGCTGCACCAGACAAACCAAGTTCAAAGTGCAATACTGAAATCACCTTGCCTTAATAGCTTGATTTGGTCAGCTCAGCTCAGCCAGGGAGTTTGCAAGACAGGGAAGTAGCTAGTATAGAAGTTACATTTCTATATTCATTATATTCCTTGTTACTATTTTCAAGGTCACAGATTGCATAAGGTTGAGCTCTGACAAAATTTCTGGAACCGATAATGTCATTCATATGGACTAAAATTAGATTGTCTCCATGCTCATTTACACTCCTGGATAGCATATCAGTTATTTCATCTATTACCAAATCACAAATAATTTTAGTTTTTTTCTTTCCTGATTTACCAGATACATATGCAGATCTAAACAATTAGGATTAGTTACTCAGATACAGTTGATAGGGAAGCAGGGAGATATCAAATGTTAATAAAATACTCACATTAATAGAACTAACATAATTGATTATCTAAATGATCAAGTCAACAATTCTGAACTTCCTAGTGAATATTCTGATTGGATTGGTTCTGCAGAAACAGCAGACTTCCTCTTTATAAGGCTCACTCTGTCATGGAAAAGATTGCCCCTTGTATGAAGAGATGTAACACTGAAGGGTTCAAGTTAACATGCTATTGTGCCCTAATTAATTGGGTGCCACTTTTTAATGCAGATTATTTGTTGGCTAAATGTTGCAGCCCATCAGACTGCTTAAGAACTATGTTTGTTCCTTCTGATCCTGTCCCCCTCCCAGCCTCACCTCTTTCTTCATGTCATGGGGACAGCTGGGCATGGTTCTGGAGAGGAAGGAAGGGAAATAAGTATGCAGGGAAGTTTCAGGATTAGCGCCAAAGGCCAACACTTTCAGGCGGGGATACAATTGCCGGAGCTGCTCCTGCAGACTGAAGAAAAAAGCAAATTATATCAGTCCAACCATGTCCCAAAATGAGAAAGGTGCATTACTGCTACAGACAACTTCCAAAGATACCAAGAAGAAAAACCAGATAATGGGCTTAAGGATGTTACAATGACTCTTCATTTGTTGCACCTTCCCTCATTCATCAACCCTGCCAAAATTTTGTGCTCAACAATGGTGCAATCATTTCCTCACATGAAGGAATGTTGGAAAAATGCCATGGCCTCCATTCTTCTAAGGGAGTGTTTCTCAAACTTGGCAACTTTTAACAGATGTGGACTTCAGCTCCCAGTATTCCCTTAGCCAAACATGTTAGCTGGGGAATTCCAGAAATACCCTTTTAAGGCTACAGAAATTGTGTTCAAGAGCAAGTTCTGGAGCACTGTGCTCCATTGTCTAAGGCATAGAAATACCTGTCAACAAACTGGTGCAAGAGAAACAAGGGCAGGAAAAGGAGGGAGAAGAAAACAGGCAGGTGCTAAAGAACAACGGAGTGACTGTTGCTTCCTTTGCACCCCATTTTTAAAAATTCATATAAGAATAATGCAAGAAGAAACAAATGACTGTAAAAAGTACCGGGTTTGGTGGACTATAAAGTCACCAGTAATATATTGTAAGTTATTGGCACCTGACAACTCCTTCCACCTTTGTGCTTGTAATATTTTACAATTAAAAAAAAACCCTGAACAATAATACGCAAAATTTCTGTGTGTCAAAAACTGAAGCGGGAATAATTAATCTTGCTATGGAAAAACTATCAAAAAGAAAAAAACAGACACATGTGCTGCAGAAAATGATGGGCATGTGTCCTTTTTACTTTTTGTTACTTTTATTAATTACTTATTACTGCTGCATTTGAGCAAATATTGTGGCCTTTCTGCCTGCACTTCTACCTTACATTTACCATCTCCTCCTTTGGCTGTTTATCTAACAAGGGAACAACTTTCATTAAATAAATAATATAACATATCTGGTTGGCTGGCGCAATACATGCCTGCTCCTATATAGGACAAATGTTGTCCTGACCCAGAAATTATTTGCCCCAGTCCCATTCCCCCCCCCCCGGCCCCACTGTTATCCCAAAGTTCCTCCATCTATAAAAGAAGCATTCCCACAGCAATATTTTCTGAGACAGGAGAGGTGGATTGATTGCATATGATTCTTCTTTTGGCTGACATACCTGGAGGATAAAGAGTTGTTGGGCATGAACGCAAAATCCAAAAGAGGGAAGAAGTCTTTGGGCCCTAACATCCCAAACCCTTTTGTCAAATTAGGATGTATCCTGCCAAAGAGAAAGCATGGTTAGTCTATCCTCAGATTCCTGGCTATCAATGTCAAGTGAATCTCATTCCAAATTCTTCTTCCACATCTAAATTCTCTCATGATCACAATTATTCCCAACAACATATACAGAAAGGCTTTAATAATCTGTAGATGAATTATCAGAGCTTTTAGTATCCTGGACAACCTTCCTTTTGCATCACAAAGATTCACTTCTATCTATGAAATCTGTCCCAGCCCTCCTAGTACAGGAGTAAGACTTAACTCCCTATAGAGCAAGAGATGACAACCATTTAAGCTGTGACAAAATAGACAAAACATGGCCGAAAAAGAAACAAGTGGACCGTAACTGATAAAAGCTCAAACACACACTATTTTAAATCTGTATTTGAGATTAAAAAAAGGAAAGGAAACATGGACTAACAGTTCTTCAGTTATTTTGCTGTTTGCAAAGCCTCTTGGAAAGTTAAACTGATTTATGAATTAGTGTCTACCCTTTTAGGGTACTGATGGTAAACGGAAGGGTTAAAAACCTGATGGCAAAGTCAACATGCACAAATGTTTCCCAATAACAGCACTCCCCATTACACATGAACTCACATCAGCAGCCGATCCAAGTAACTGATGGCATATGGAGAGAGAGATTTGATGCCCAGAACCGGAAGCATGATGCCAAGCCACACTAGGAAGAGAAGGGACATAACAGTACTTTTTGGGGGAAGGAGGGGGAGAAACATGCTGCACTCATAACTTTCCATTCCTCCACGAAGGAATTCAGCACTGTCCACTGAAAAACAGTGGGATGTGCCTAAGCAATTTCCCTCCCGGGTATAGACTAATTCTGTTTCCAAAGACAGCTGCTTCATCCACATTCAGCAGGTTACTTGCCAAAGAAAGAGGCTGAACATAAGAGAATCTTATCACCAACACTGACATTCTCTAAATTCCGCTGATGTTACCTAGCCTGGTAATGAAACATTCAGAAACCAACCTACAAGCTCAGAGAACGAACCTCCACTTTCAGGGTCTTATCACTTGCCGGGAACAACTTTGCTCTTCCCACTTCTCCTGCTGGGCGTAAGGCTCCCCTAAGAACATAGGCAAGCATAATTCTAAAAGTTACAGATTTAAGCTGCTTGACCTGCCTTTAAACAGCTGTTATTGAGGTACCAACTTTTCCCCCGTTTTTTCCCTGTGAAAGCTGAAAGTGGAGCATAGCGCTATTTCAGCAGAGGCACTTGAAGTACCTATTTTTGAAGGAGTTAGCACAGGGATGAGACTCAACCGGCCAAAGTTATGGTACACTCAAAACTTTCCCACATTTATTCTAATGTATGAGAAACTTCAATAGGATTGTCCCACTCAATGTGTGGGAAGATGTTTATGAACATGAAGAATACTTCTTTGGAGGACTATAAACTCAGCTATTTATTAGATTCCTTATCAGATACCGCTTTTTGGATGTTACTTACAAAACAAGTTTAGCTAGTTTGAAAATCTTTTCTTCTTTACTCTGAATTAAGCATGCAAAATTCTTCAAGTTTCATTCCCAGACTCTTTTTGAATGGTCAATTTTGCTTTTTATTATTTCGGTTGACATTAGGTACTTTTAAGAATGTGTAGGCAAGTAGGATTTTCATTAATACATAAATGCAAGTGGTAAAATAATGGCATATGAAAAATATTAAAACTTTAAAGGTTGCCATGAATTTCAGGGCATTAAAAAGCAAACATTCCCAATGAACATAAAAATCCTGTTGTTCTCACCTTTAAGCCCTTCTGTAAGGTCAGCAAAACCAGCTTGCCCCAAGGCCCACATAATGGTGAGACATTTGGCTGGTCGATTCTGGTGGGATCTCAACAGCTCAAGATACTGAAACAGAAAAGGCAAAGGCAGTTTATTGTAACCTTCGTAGCAAGAAAGAACGCAAAGCATTCTGCCTCACAGGGCTCCTTGCTAACTGATCTCATCCAACATGGCATCATCAGACATAAAACGGTTAGTTCATTTGGCATTCCATGGACCACAGTGCAATTAGTCTTCCAATATTCAATTTTACAAAGATGATCTTGAATATGTTACAACTTCTTTTTAGAAAAGTAGACCCCCTGTCAACTTACCTTGCTCAAGTTTGCTGTAGCAACTTTAGGTTTGTCCAGTAATATAGCCTGTATGCAGATCCTATAGCTGTGCAGTGACTCCCCTGAAAGGTAAGGCGATTAGGTTACTGCCACATAGGATATATTAACTTGGACATCAAGTCCTTATAGCCCATGCTGAGTCTTGCAGAAAAAAAAATCTGTTTGAATTTGGGATGTGAATCTTGCTTTCCTAATATGTGAAATGTGCTATTTCTGCCAATCACTCTTCCTCCATTAATTTGTCATAAAAATAGTGAAATCTTATTTAACAAAATAACAGAGTTGGAAGGGACCTTGGAGGTCTTATAGTCCAACCTCCTGTTCAACCAGAAGATCTATACCATTTCAGACAATGGTTGTTCAATCTCCTCTTAAAAACCTCCAGTGATGGAGCACTGACAATTTCTGGAGGCAAGCTGTTCTACTGATTAATTGTTTTTACTGTCAGAAAATTTCTCCTTATTTCTAGATTAGTTCTCTCCTTGATTAGTTTCCATCCCTTGCTTCTTGTCCTACCTTCAAGTGCTTTTGAAAATAGTTTTGACTCCTTCTTCTTTGTGGCAGCCCCTCCAATACTGTAACATTGCTACCATGTCACGCCTAGTCCTTCTTTTCATTAAACTAGACATATCCTTTAACTGTTCTTCATATATTTTAGCCTCCAATCCCCTAATAATTTTTGTTGCTCTTCTCTGTACTTTTTCTAGAGTCTCAATATCTTCTATGTATCATGGTGACCAAAACTGGATGCAATTCCAAGTGTGGTCTTACTAAGGCATTATAAAACGGTACTAATACTTCACATGATCTTGATTCTATCCCTCTATTAATGCAGCCTAGGACTGTAATAGCTTTTTTGGCAGCTGCAGTACACTGCTGGCTGATATTTAAATTATTGTTTACTAGGCACCTCCTATTCTATACCATAATATAGAATATTGGTTGTTCTTACCTAAGTGTAAAACCGTACTTTTCTTACCACTGAATTTATTTTGTTATAGGGCCCAGATCATCCTTTAAATTAAATTAAGGGTCCACTGTGCCCTTTCCTCCTCCATTAATTCTTTGTTAGGAAGTTAACTTTATGCTTCTATTTCTTTTACAACTGATTCTCAAAATGCAAAGTTCTTGAAGAAATGACCTGCCTCCCATTAGCTACATGTAAAAGAAACCATCATCCTGTTCTTAATCTTGCTTAGTGTCCTCTGCCTACATGGCAGCAGCTTTGATTCCAAGATATATTAGCTGATCCATACTTTACTCTTATCTTACCAGGAGTTTTGTCCAACTCTTGCAACATTGTGTAAATACAATGGTCCAAGAAAAGCTCCAGGACACCTCCAGCTTTCAACAGTAGGGACTTGATAATGCTCCTTAGTTCTTTATTCACCAGACAGTAGGGATAGTCTGCAGCCAAAAATATAAATAGCAAGATCAAGATTTTAGTCAGCATCCATTTGGTCAGAGCACTGCTACCACCACATTTCCATACATCTGCTTAAAACAAGCATCCGAGGTGGGGTATGATCAGGAGGCCACTTCTGAAAAAGAGCAGCACATCCCTGAGCGTGCTAGGATGTTATAATACAGATTATTACAGTAGAACCTATGAGTATAGTTGCTATTTCAGCAGGATCATACCACAAGTCAAGGAAAGAGGCCTAAATGAAAGTTGTGCAATATTTTCACTTCAACGACAAAAGATGTTCAATTACAGCAGATGCCCTTACCCCCTAAAATAATGTATCTCTGGGGCCTCTTCCAAATTAAAACTGCCAGTATGCACTCTGAAAGTGCTTCCATTTAATTTCACTTTTTTCCTCTTTGAAGGGTAGCTCCTCCTGGGTTTTTTGGGGGTGAAGCTGGCACTCAGGCTGCCCAGAGTGGGCATGCAGATTTATCATCGGAACCACATTAAACAGCCCTAGGAACAGCTGCTCTTGAAAGAAGATAAAACCTGGCAAGAATGCCTTGATCCTGGGCAAGTCACCTTGCATAGCGCTCAAAGGCAGGTTTGAGGCCATTGCATGAGCTGTTGCTGCGAGTGCAAAGACCACTAACATATCCCAGGGTTTTGATCTCAGATATCACAGCCCCAGCAGTTCATCATAAACAGCACATATGTAGGCAGAGTGAACCAAGTGGCGTTCCCCCATCCAACTCCCCTTTCCTCCGCAATTTGAAAACCTCTGTGTTCCACTTTCCTCTATATACCTCTAGGCAAAATAATTCAATTGCAAGTATACTAAGGCATTAACTATTATGGCCATGCTGTCCTTTTAAGAGCTGGAGAGCCAAACAAAGCTGATGAAAGATAATTCTATATGGCCTAAAGTAATCTGACTGAATAAAGGAATAGCTCCCAGAAAGGGCAACCTCAAGTAGGACAATTTAAATGGCTACCTCTAGTACATGCATGCTTATTCTAATAACAGTAATCCCATTTTTGAATGACAGCAACATTATCCCCTTGGTGCTACCAACCATGAGGGTGCTGACTGAGGGTGGGCTCACTCTTCATGGCCTGCAGCTTGTAGTTCAAATATCCAGCTAGATCTTTTACCCACACGGAAGGGTTCTCTGGGAACAAGTTCAAGCTTTTATCAAGCTCTCTCTGGAGTTCTGATAAATCCAGCTGGAATTTAAAAGAAAAAGGTACAGTGAAGAACTGGAAAGGGGAGAACTGTCAACCTAATCTCAGCCTCATTTGCAGATCGGGTGGGAGCTAAAATTATAATGCAAGCTGGCAGCAACTAGAATTGCTTTATGGAATGAGAACTATATGTGACCTTTGAATATTATCGGGAGGTGATAATTAAAAAAAGTCAGGGCAAGAACAAAAACTAAACTTAACCCTATTTGTCATATTTATACTGCAGCCTATCTCACAAACAACTGACTCTGGGTGAAGTAAAACAAAGCTAAAAAAAGATACCTATGAATATTTACAATATTATCAAAAGCTCTGAATTATAACAAGCATAAAGCTAAAAGAAAAAGAATTGGACAAAGAACAATTTGTATATATTATTATAACAAAATTAATTATGATTTCCTTTCATGTGATAAGTAATAATATTCTTTGGTCCTAATTATACATAACAGTTTGGTATCAACTTTTCAAACAGCTGTGGGGCATGCAAGCGATACAGCTCTTAAATATGTAACCTACTCCAGGGAGAAATAAGGGGAGTCTAAAGTGAGACTGAGTTTGAGAATGGATTCTTCTGAAAACAACAAGATAAATACACCCAATGTTACAGTTTTCCTAAATAAATAACATTTGTCTGAGAAAGAAGTCACTACAAAGTACTGGTAACCATACAGTGACTCCAGATAAAAATTTACCTTCCCTCTGCAGAAAAAGAACGATGTTAAGTTCAACTTAAATTGCACAACAAATAATTGCATTCAATAATTCTTGGGTCAACTACTGTTCTTTCTACCGTACATAGTTGCAATTAAAGACTTGTAGATAATAACATTACTAGATAAAGAATAAACTTTCAGTACATTGCCTTCTCTGTTTCAGAGGTAATCTCTAATTTGCAATATAATACAAAGATACAAAAGAGACAATTTTGGGGAAAATGATACTGACTGCTTTCAATGCATCCTCCAGAGTCCGGTTTTTGATTTGCTTGTTCTGTCCACTATCTCCAGTTGTCCCTTTCTTAGCATTTTTTCCAGGGTTTTGCTTTTTCTGCTGCTGGCGTCCAGGTGGTGGAGGCACCTGTTCTTTATTCTGCTTCTTTGTTGATTTCTCAAAGCCAAGTTCAAAGAGAGTTTCTGAAGTGGCAAGAGGAACTATGAGAATAGAAGAGAGACATGTGAAGCCTGACTACTGAAATGGCCATTTAACAAGTTACAGAATTAACCCACTTTCTAGATTTACACACAATACATTTTTAAAAATGAACTAGTCATAAACTAAGCCACAAAGTGGGACCTAATGTTAACTCACTTTGTATGTAATCTAAATACTTTTCTCCAATGACTTATCTAATTTAATAAATGCACGATGTACATGGCTAAAAAATAAAACTGCATAAAATAAATTAGCATCATTAAAAGACCCAGCTTTTGAAAAAAGTGCTTTTGTTACAGAGCAATGTTTCTTCTTGTATATTACACGCTCCTACAGATCCCAGAATATCTCACCATTGGGCTCAACAGTAGAAAGAACAAATCTGTAAAAAAAAGTATAGCCAATTTTAAACAGAGGGGAAATGCTTCTGAACATCCAACTAGAGATCCGATGTTTCAGAGTCACGTGCCATCAAGACCCACACTATGAGAGGGGAGGAGTGGTCTCCTGCGTGAGCAGAGGGTTGGGCTAGATGACCTCCAAGGTCCCTTCCAACTCTATTACTGTTACAGTCACTTGGTAACTGGAAGGGTCTCTAGATCTCCGCTGGCTTCCCTGACTTTCCAGGCCTCCCCGTCCGTTCGGTGGCAGGGAATTTGTTCCAGGGAGGGCTGGGCTTAAAACCCCGAAGCAGAAAAGCCACGGGAAAAGCATAACTTGTGTTCCAGCACGTGGCCAGACTCCTTTCTGCCAACTGACAAGTCCTTCCCTTGTCTGCCACCTCGGGAGGGAAAAAAAATCCCCTAAAACGGAGGTCTATGTAACCGGCGCAGGTAGTCGACCCCGCCTGCCTGCCTTCTTTCCACTTGCACGGTAGGCTACCGCTGCATATGGAGGCTCAACTGTGTGTCTGTGTTCCTCACTCACTGGGCGAGGCCAGACCGCGTCCTCCGTTGGCGTCTCCAAGCGCCTTTCGCCCCATAGAGCCGCCGCCGCCGCCGGCCGCTCCCCTGCGGGAAGGCTTCCGCACCACCTCCCAACGTGCCGTCGCAGCCATCAGCCTTCCCTGGCCCGCTTCCTACGCCTTCGCCTCCTTCGGTCATCGACGCGCGCGCGCGCGCTCTCGTGAGGGAGGAAAAAACGGGCCCGCGCGCTGACTTTCCTCCCTCGCGCAATTACGGCCCCGCCCCCCCTTCGGCTTCCAGGCCGCGCTCATTGGGCGAGACGCCCCTTCCGCGCGACTCCGCGGCGAACGTTGCTTCTGCCACGTTCCTAAAGCTCGCCCGCCTCCCCGGGACGTGACACACGAGCGCCGCCCCTCCTTCCCAGTTTGGACCGAGGAAAGCGAAGCCTGTTCCTTGTGTTTTGGAGTCACTCGCCACGCCGTCGAATTGGAGAGGGGTGGGGGCGCGACTTTGATGGAGCAGAGGGTGGCCGGCTACTTAATAGCGTCTTGTCTCGGCAGTCGAGAGAATTCAGCTACAGCAGGGGTCTCCAACCTTGGCCACTTTAAGCCTGGCGGACTTCAACTCCCAGAATTCCCCAGCCAGCTTTGCTGGCTGGGGAATTCTGGGAGTTGAAGTCCGCCAGGCTTAAAGTGGCCAAGGTTGGAGCCCTGAGCTAGAGAAAAATCGCTTTGGAGACACCTGAAAAGCCGGATTTGGACTCGGATCAACACGGTTCTGCCTACATCCCCGCGGCAGACCCAAGAAACAACCGAGCCGTTCTTGTTCATTGGCCTGTTGTGGCACAGAGCTACATCGCCTCTGAATAAGGAACTGTCGGCCTTGATTTTCATGCCAAACAGCCCCTGGTGGAGGAAAGCTCGTTCATTTGTTTGATGCCTTGTACAAATTTGACACGGTGGCTCAGGGGCTAAGACGCTGAGCTTGTCAATCGAAAGGTCGGCAGTTCAGCGGTTCGAATCCCTAGTGCCGCGTAATGGGGTGAGCTCCCGTTACTTGTCCCAGCTTCTGCCAACCTAGCAGTTCGAAAGCATGTAAAAAGTGCAAGTAGAAAAATAGGGACCACCTTTGGTGGGAAGGTAACAGCGTTCTGTGCGCCTTTGGCGTTTAGTCATGCCAGCGACATGACCACGGAGACGTCTTCGGACAGTGGCTTTGAAATGGAGATGAGCACCACCTCCTAGAGTTGGGAACGACTAGCACATACCTGAGAGGGAAACCTTTACCTTTACATCATTCATTGTCATGTCTATGGAGATTCTCAGTCATCCAAGGTGCTTTTTTTCCAAGAGGCAATTGGACTTTGTTTTTTCTTTGAAGATGTTTCGCTTCTCATCCAAGAAGCTTCTTCGGGTTCAACTGGATGGTGGGGGGAATGGAAGTCAGAGCTGAAGAAGCTTCTTGGATGAGAAAGTCCAGTTGCTTCTTGAAAAAAGCACCTTTGGGACATTCATTGTCACATATTTATGAGGCGCATATTGGAGGGAGTGACCCTTTGAGAGCTGTATGCAATGAAATTTCATTTTAATGTTTGATTAGTGTACATTCAAAGTGACAAAGTTATTCTAAGTATAAGATTACTCTAAGTTCTATTCTTTTTACAAAAGGCTGGATGTGAAACAAGACTTGCTCCCTTGGGTCACTCTCCCGTGTTGTTTGTTGTGCAGTTGCTAAGACGTGTCAGACTCCGTGACGATGGGTCATTGCATTCCAGGCCTCCCCGTCCTCCACTATTCTCCAGGAGTTTGCCAAAATTACATTAATTGCATCGATAACACTATCTAACCCTCTCATTCTCTGTAGGCCGCTTCTCCTTTCTGCCTTCCATCTTTCCCAACATCAGGGTCTTTTCCAATGAGTCCTCTCTTCTCATTGGGTGGCCAAAGTATTTGAGCTTCAGCTTCGGTATCTCTCCTTCCAAACAATGGCCAGGGTTGAATTCTTTTAGCACTGTGCATAAATAAGTAAAGTGGACTAGCAAGGAGGCCTAAAGAAGGGTGCATTAAAAAGTTTGTAAGGATGATACTTATTTGGCTTGACTCTAAAATCGTTGCATCTTACCACTTTCTTCCATAATGGATTCCAACTCGCAGAATTACAATTTGGTTCAGCAAAACTATGTTGAGACTTATGGTTAATTAGTCAAGAGATAGCCCTCACTGGGGAAGAATACACTCCAGAGATGTATTGGAAGTCTCAAAGCAGTGTATGTGCAATAGTGTACTTGTGTATTATCCAAGATCTCTCTACATCTCAGATTAATAATATGCAAATCTCATGAATAACAACTGCTGTATTTTATCCTTACTTTCCCTGAATTGATTTAAATTATTTTTAAAGCAAGCCATTGCTCCAGCTTCTAATAGCAAATTCCAGCTCAGCTGAGCTCTATATAAAATGCCTTGTCTTAACTTCCACCACTGAATTTCATTCAATCATGCTGCATTTAAGGATTTATGAAAGGGAAAATGTTATTCACTATAATGTCTTTTTTCTGCTCTATATCACTCAAAGGTCCCTATACAGTAGAACCTCTGGTCACGACCATTATTTGTTCCATAACTTTGGTTGCAAACCGACTTGGTCATGACCCAAACCTAATTTTGGAAATTTGGCGCTTACAAAAACAAATGGCACAGAAGGGGAAATCGGCCGCAAAAAAAAAAATAGTGAATTTTTTGGTCGGAACCCGATTTGGACGTGGTCAGAAGCATTCAAGACCAGAGGCTCTACTGTACAGGAATTTCTCTAGACTGCTGAGGGCATTACAGGTAGTCCTTGATTGAGCCCAGAATTTATGTTGCTAAGTGAGACATTTTTAAAGTGAGTTTTGCCCCATTTTATGACTTCTCCCCACATTTGTTAAGTGAATCACTACAGTTGTTAAATTAGTAATATGGTTGTTAAGTGAATTTGGCTTCCCCATTAACTTTGCTTGTCAGAAGGTCTCAAAAGATGATCATGTATCCCGGGACACTGCAACTGTCATTAATATGAATCAGTTGTCGATCATCCGAATTTTGATGTGACCAAGGGGATGCTGCAACAGTCATAAGTGTGAAAACTTTTCAGTGCTGTTGTAACTTTGAACAGTTACTAAATGAACTGTTGTAAGTCAAGGACTACCTGTATCTAGCTTATTCTTATGATTCACCTTTATTTGGGTATTAAACACATCTCATAATATGGCTTTTGCTTATTCTATGATCATAAATCTTCAACCTGTGGCCACAGTTTTAATTAAATGATGTTGTAGCTGTCAGAGTTGTTCTTACAAGTAATAGACAAATTAGCATTTGTAAACGTAGAATACTGTTCAAATAATATTTAGGCACAGCAAGTCTTAAAGGAAAGGGTGACTTGATTCAGAGTGGATTTAGAAAGGCTTTGCACACACAAAAATCCCATAACGAATACTGCCTTCTGCCTATCCTGTGTGTAGGTGTGTTCTCCATCTCTTTGGAACACTTTACCCCCAGAAATGAGGCAGGAGTCCATTCTTTGGCTTTCACAAAGAGTGTTAAGACCTGGTTCTGCCAGTTGACATAGGAATTAGACTGATGCAACATTGGGGATAGTTTCCACCTTTTTAACTCTTAATATTTTAAGACGGACCTTTTAAATTCTGTTTTAAATCTAGAAAAATTACTATAGTATGTTATAAAAAAGTACCTGCTGTGCCTGGGAAAATGGGAAGCATTTATTCAAATGAAAGTACTTGGTGAGATATAACAGATCACCTCACCTGGGAAAGAGATTTATGTCTCTTCTAATTTCCTTTCTTCCCTCTTTCTTTTCCTTTCCTTTCCTCTCTCCTTATCTAACAGTCCTCAGTTTCTTAGCTTCCAAAAAGAAAAATCTTCCTACATAAGAAACTAGAAAAGGGCCTGTCAAAGTCAGGGACTATTGGTCTGCTCAGAATTGCCATGTTCATCTGATTCATCATTGGTTTGGTGCTTCAGGATGTTGTGGCCTGCCAGCTACCAGCAGAGCTGGTGACAGACTTGGTTGATGAAGAGGTTGGGGAGGAATGTGGGCCAGTGCTGGAGTCTGGGGAAGGCTCTGATGGATGCTCTGTGTTGAACACAGAGGTAGAGCCAGGGCCATCTGACATTTCCCAGCCACCGGAGAGGCAGCTGCCGTTGGAGGCTGATATGAGTGAGGAGGAAGAACAGTTGGGGCCTGTTCCAGATGCACGTATACGCAGAGCAGTTAGGAGAGGTGAGCAACGGAGGACAAGGAGTCGACTCGGGAATCAAAGCACATGTGGACGCTGAATGGTCCCTCCCTGGCTGGGAAATAAATAGAAGGAAAGGGAAGTGGTTGTCGTAGGACACAACAGTTCGTATTTCTGAGATTTTGCTCATTGTGTTTCGTGCCACAAAGACTGCTTGCCAGAACTTAATTTGCAGTCTTTCAGCTGGGAGCTCACCCCTAAGGTCTATAGTGCAGTTAACTCCTTGAAGGACTATTGCCTGGACTTTTCGGTGGATGACTGCAATTAATTCACAAGAGGTAAATAAATAGGTTTTTTTTCATGACGAGTCTGTTTCTTGCTTCTGCTAAGGCTGGGTCAGAACACAGGACTTGGTGCACTGATCTTTTGGCAGCAACCGTATCTATCCATTCAAATGGATATGGCACACACATCAGGACAGATTTTAACCACACAAATTTATTTTAAATAAAATGCAACACAGATGCAGGCTTTGCACACCAGTGTCTGATTGAACAGGCAATGCAAACAGGGAGTGGGTCAAGGCAGAGTCTGTGTGGCAAACTTATCCAAACAGCATGAACTAAACCTTGGTAGGGTCAGAACAATAAGTGAAGAGCAAACGTCTGAGCCCTTCCCAATAGCAGGCTCAATTGTAA